CAGACACTGTACCTGTTCGTGCAAAGAAGAGTGTCTGTTCAGGCAGTATGTGTGTCTGTTCGTCTAGAGTTGTGCCTGTCCGAAAGTAAAGTCAACAGGTAAAGTTCCAGTTCTGGTCTAAGTCCAGGGGCAGTCCAGATCCAGGCTTTCAAGTCCAAATCTAGGCCGAGAGGCCTCAACAGCAGTTGAACCTCATTGGGACTATACTGGGACACATGCAATGCAGGGTTTGGGACAAAGGAAAGGCTRAACTGAGCCAATGCAGACCCAGCGAGGAGTGGCCAGCACTATAAAGAAAGCAGCCAGCCTCATTCCTCGCCAGATCTCCACTGGCTTCAATGCATGGAAGTGCTGTTGCGCTTGTGCGCTAGTCAGTAGGAGCTGTGCTGAAGAAGAAGATGCGCTAGATACAGATTGTACGCTGGAAGGGATGCAGCCATAGCTGCCCAGCGAATTAGTGGTAGATTACTGGGTTAGTGGTAGTCAGCCATGAGTAGTATTCAGAGTAGATCCTCATGAGAGAAGAGTGTGTATGCATCATAAGAGGAAGGGGCTGAGGCAGAGAGTGTTCATTCAAGGTTTGGCTATGGAAGATACTTACCCGAGTTGGATGTGAACTGCAGAGGTGGCGCTGATGAGTAGTGACCACATTGATGACTTGGAGACAATCTGCAGGAGTAGCGCTGATGCATGGGAAGCCATATTGATGAGTTGACAAGAGATTTGTGTTGCACTGAGGAGCGTTGGACTCAGGGGAACTTTGAAACACTTTGTAATCATATTTCTGATAATATAAGTGGTGAAACTCGGTCCTCTTCTCATCTACCTTTGTCTATGACTTGAGACTATTGATCATTGTGTGTGAGGATGATGCATGACATGTACACACTTGCGTGAGATGGTCCCCAGGACCCATGCAAAGGGGCTAGGATACTGTGGGTTTCACGCTTGGTTAAGATCGTCCTAGTCGATCGACGTACGCTTCGTTCTTAGGAGATCAGCGCCCTAATGGATGAGCGACGTTCGGGTTTAATGGGCGCTTTAATTGCGAGTACCTTTACTACAGTGAGCCAGCAAACGCCCTCGGCTGACCCACCTCTGCAACTGCATGTAAAAGCTCTCGCACGAAGGTCGGTAGCTCGGTAGGGATACACCCCTAAGGGTGGTGACAACCGCTTAGGGAAGCAAGTTGTGCCCCGTGGGAACCTATCTTGTCGTAGGACACCACGAGATGTACAACTGGCGGACCCGGATAGAGTGGCGAAGAGACGACGCGACTGTGGTCGTCTCGGCGGCTCACGGGTTTGTTTTGCGTTGTTCCAAGTTGTCTCTATGTCTTTTCGTTCAAACTCCTGCGTGACATGGCCGGAAGGGCTCTCGCCTTTTGCGAGAAAAGGCGGGAGCCGATGGGCTCGACAGAGCTACCGTCAGATCGAGGTGTTGCCTGGAGACCAACAGAAAACGACTTTTAGATTTCGATATTGCCCCTACGAATTTGTGGTCATGCCGTTTGGATTGACCAATGCCCCTGCTACTTTCCAGCAATGTATGACAGTTTGATTTTTAGTAAGACTTCAGATTAACACCAACAACACTTACGTTTAGTGCTAAGCAAGTTGTGCGACGAACAATTTAAGTTGAACCCAAAGAAGTGTGAGTGGGCCAAGCGTCAGGTGTTATATTTGGGACATGTGTTGGATGGAGATGGAATTAAACCGGAAGACGCCAAAATAGCAGCAATTAGAGACTGGCCGACGCCACGTATGTTGACAGAACTACGATCGGTCCTTGGTCTGCCTAACTATTACCGCAAGTTCGCGAGGAACTTCACTGTAATAGCTGCTCTGCTATGTAGGCTGTTGAGGAAAGAGACATACTGGAGATGGGATGAAGATTGTACTTCAGGCTTTAAACGTTTAAAGAAGTGTTTTGTTACGATCCTGGCCAATTTCGAAGTATTCATTCATCGAAAGTACAATGTCGTCCAATTGCAAAAAGAAATGAATGAACTTGACAGGAGAGAGAGGGAAAGAAGAAGAAGAAGTAAGAAAGAAGAAGAAGAAGAAGAAGTATGAAAGAAGAAGAAGAAGATGTATTCCAACATAGACCAAAGATTAGGCTCTTCTCTTCGCCAAACAATCTCCTCGTCCTTATCTCCTCCTCCTTTATTCAAACAAGAGATACCAATAATAATTTTGAATGGCTGAACCAGAATCAATGTTTGAATCCCACTTCTACTGCAGGCACAACATGAGGTCCACCATAGCCATGGCCACTCTTCTCCTTCCTCTCACATGTAGGCCGAGGCTATGGCGGACTACTGAGGGCTCAACCCTCCTGTCCAAAGGACAACCCAAAGCAGCTATGTCGCTGCCCTCCTGTCCCGAGGTCAACATTAGGCAGCTATGCCGCTGCCCACTCAACCGTCATGCCTGAGTCTGTCTTGAGCTTCCTTGATGCGGCACTACCCCAACTGGGGCCTTCCTGATGCATCGCCTAACAAGGTGATGAAGGTGGTGTCCATCATAGCCAGGTAGGTACTTGCCACTCTCCTCCTTGGTCTCCTTCTCCCTCCTCCTCCTACCTGTAGAGCTCCACCATAGCCAAAGTGGAAGCTCCCGACTTCTTCCTCCCAGCAGCGCTGTAGTAGCCAGCGTTACTCCAGCCAGTGCTCCAACAGCGTGTCGCCAAACTTGCACACTGAAGAATGAGGCCGAGCTCTCGGCCTCTTCATATAGCGGCCTGCTTGTGTAGCGGACCCACCAGCTGTGGTGCTCCGCTAATGACAGAGATGGAGATGGAGGAAGGAGGGGGAGCAAGATGGCACAACGCAGCTCCCCACGCAAGACTCCAACGCACGTACTCCAACGCACGTACTCCAAAATGTGCAAGTGAGGAATGAGCATGAAAACAGACAATGGCTGGGGTATACCCCAGCGGACTGACGGGACTGGACTGGATTGGCTGGTACCGACAGAGGTACCGGCTTGGACTGGCCTACCCCAAATATAACACAGGCCTGTGAGAACAGGCCAATGGGCTGGTCTCACAGGCCATCCCGAGGTCCGCTACACGATCCTCGGCCTGTGATGGATCGCCTAGATACAAACATGCTTCCGCCAAGAAGCGGAACTCTACCAAAGAAAAGAAAACCTGAGTAGTCTAGGATGCGGAGCAAGCTCCATGCTGCGTCCATGCGATGCAACCTAGGATATAAAATGTCACAAAACAGCAATGTCACTGCTAACAGCCTAAGTGAAAGTTGGAGCAACTAACTAACATACATGTCCTAGGAAAGCAAAAAGTAGTGACAACTAGATCCTAGAATGTTGGAGGCACTAGCCTCAGTCTGGTAACAACTGACTAGTGTATAAGTCCTAAGAACAGCAAAAGCAGAACAACTAAATCCTAGAATGTCGGAGGCAGTAGCCTCAGTCTGAGAGCACCAAAGCAATCAACAAGACAACCATATGTCACATGAGAAGTGTGTCGCACACCAAAGGGTGGGATGGTCTCTGAGGGTGGCGAATGCAGCCTAGGGGTCGAAAACTCCTAAGGGCATCYACACATAGTGACAGGGGAAAACACATGTCGTCAGGCTCAATGAGGGTAGGGAACTGGGAGCGAACAGAACCAATGACCCTAACAGCTAGACCATCAGGGTGGGTAATGCTCGGCTAAGGGGTGATCGCTATGGAGGGTCGACCATGCAAGGGAACAAGGGAGCCTGGTATACTGGGCGCACCTAGATGAAGCATGCGGGGCTGCCTAACTAGGGCGTGAGGGCCGGCGAAGGGTAGAAAGATGATGGGTAAGG